GGACGAGGTCGTCTGTCGATGTGGAGTCTCCGGAGGCCTTCAACGCCGGCAATCCTCCACCGACAGATGGATCTTTCATCGGCCTGCTCTCTAACCCGCCAGTTCCCCCTTTTGAGGTGGATCATCACCGCTCTTCATGTTGTTTATTTTGATTTAACCAGAGTATGTGAGCAATGCTCACACTAGTATTTGTGTTCATGCTGTTTAATTTAACTAGTATTTGGAATTTACCTACTATCTCAATAGGTGTTCATGGGCATGATGGCGTCCCGAGCCTTGTTCGCCCCGATGCCTGGTTCTTCGTCCGCTATCACGCTTGGAAAGCGGCCCCGCGAGGCATCCCCCGATGGAGGCAGCCACCCACGATTTCGTGCCATGCTGCGCCGGTCAGTTCGGTAAAAGTCGTTTGTCTTCTCAATCAGATCGCTCTCCCCTTATCCTATATGGGCTTGAAGTTGGCTTGCATTGTGAAGTGCTTCCTCCATGATGGCACCATCCCAGGTCATGGGGCTTTCCCCTGGTGGTGCCAGAGAGTCGTCCCATCGCCGCTTGTCGCCGTCGAGTCCGTCTGTCCCCGCACAACCCTCTGGTTCTGAAGTGAGCGAATCATAAGAAGAGCGTGAATCCTTAGACGACGTAGAGTACCATCAATTATTGAAGGATTACCACGAGGTCCAAGCGGATTTGTCATCGACCAGGCTGAATGCCGAGACACTGCGCGGTGAGCTAGATGCCACGCGCGACGCACTTCAAGCTTCCAAGAATCTGGCCTCCCAGGCGCGAGCCAACTTGGCGATCGCCAAGCAATAGGCCCAACACATGATGAACCTTGTTGTGGTACTGAGCACGTGGGTCGACACCCTGCAGATGTCCGTGCTAGCCTCCTATAATGTGGCCTTCCCCGTTGGAAGGGTGGATAATCTGTTGGCCGTAGAGGAGCACCTGTTAGCCCTGTCGGCCCGAATTCGAGACGTCGTGACCGAAGCCGTTCGTCAGGGGGCTGCCACGGCGCTAGCTGCTGCCCAGCTTCAGATTAAAACAGTGGTGAACCTCGGAGTGGCAGAGCAGGGTTTTCCGCCACGTTCGACGGACAATGAGATCGCCGATCTGATCGAGAGTTTGGAGCCGGCCGCCAACGCCGTTTTACCGAAGGTGGATGTGTTCGAGATCCTGCATGCCAACCTCGACCCTTGATCTGTGGGACATATCAGTAGTTTTAGTAGTCATGAATAAGTTTGATCTGCGGGACACCCTTACAAAATATGTGAACTCTTATTTGCATGTTGGTGTTAACTTTTGTTGAACTTTGTATCGGGCCTTATTTGGATGCATATATATCCACATTAATTCACATGTGTTGGAGTGGAATGGAATGGAATTTAGTTTAATTCCATTCCAATCCACTTCAACATATGTGGATCGAGATGAATACATGCGCATTCAAACAAGGCCTTAGGTGGGTTAAACTCTGTTGAGCGTGGTGTAGCTCAGGTCCTTTGGTCATTGGTCATTTTGTAGCTGGTTTGTAGCCCCCTGTTGGTTGCTTTTCGCTACATATTTCTTTCTAGTTGTCTTTGATCTAATAGATAATATGCTTGGAGGATGGCACACGTGAACACGCAGCCCCACCGCCGGCTTGCCCGCGGCCAAACTACGTGCACCGCGCACGCATGTGTAGAAGACGCACCGCTGCCAGGGCACCCACCTGTGCCACGCGCCCGAGCAGACAATAGTGGCTCCACTAATAAATCCGGTCGTGCAGCCGTCAGATCTACTGAAGGGGAAGCCCACTGGCACACAGCCCTGCCGCCGGCATGTGACCAAACTGCATGCCCCATTCCACTGCACATGTACATGAAGAACACCGTAGCACAGAGCAGCTCCACCAGATTAGAAGTGGCGTGGACACCGGGCTCCATGATCAGACGGCCGATCACGCCGATAGTGCTCGGCGTCTGTTAGGCAGCCCGCCTCCTGCCAGCCGGCCAGCCGCCAACCCTAGCTAGGCAAATCTGGCCTCCGTGTGCAGGCCGAGGATGGGCGTCGCCGGCCACAGCACCGGCAGCCGCAGCACACGGGCGACCCAGCTTGGCCGCCGCCGCCCCGGTCGGCCACGGCCCAGCCAGCCATGCACCCAACCCAGCTAGCCATGGCCGCAGGTCCAGGACCATGCGCCCGCCCAGCAAAGGCCGCCATCCCCCGGCCGAGGCGGGAAGCTTGAGGGGGCGGATTTAGAGGTGGGTGCGATAGATCCGGGCCCGGGATGGCCGGACCCGACCGCCGACCGCCCGGAGACGAAGGGGAAGGAAGAGAGGAGGTAGAGGGGGCTCGTGGGGGAGGAGGGAGAGGTTTGCTTCGGATAAGGCCTGTTTTTGGGGTCCCCCGAGGGCCGCCACCGCACGCCGGAGGGCAGCGGCGTCGGCTGTCGAGGAAGTGGTGCTTGGGGAGGTGGGGGGTTGGGTGACCGAGTTAGTGGTTCAAGACGTTAATTAGGATTTAGGGACTCACCTGAACCGAACCCTTGCACATCGTGATGGCTTCGCTCACATGAGTATCGTGTGACTTGTCTTACAACTTTCGTAACCTCACAACAGGTACGCAAAATAACCACGCATTTAAGCTAACTATCTCTAATCTTTCCGTAAGGGGTTAATGTTTTATTGCACATACTAGTATTTAAGGATTATACGTTCTGTTATGAACCTGGGCCTTACGTAGTCTATTTTGGTGATCTAGGCGTCCAAACTATGCTAAGCCGGGGGTCGAGGTGCAGCGATCGATCGTACTCTTTAGGCACGTCTACATTCATCAATTGCTTATTTAATACTACATCAGTTATCAAACTCTGCATATGCATATGTGCCTGCTCAGAATCCCTAAACATGCCCATCGGGGGGCAAAGCATGGCAACTTGATGGATAAAGTCATACTCATACCGAGGAGACCATATTAACTGGTTCAAATCATAGTGACGAAACATGTTTGCCTATGCCCTAGTAGAATGGTTGGCAACTGATGGCCATAGTAATATTCAAACCATCAACTTTTCCATAGAAGGGGAATAGTCTACTATATATAAAGAAAATGAATCTGCATTCTAGGATTCAGCCTTCAGCCTGTCTTAGCAAATAATCTAGCCTCTGTATTTCATCAATTTTCTGTGCACAACATATATTATTGAGCCTCTGTTTTCCACTGTAGTCCTGTCTTCCACTTGTAGTCGGTGAAGACTTGCCTGAACCGGGTCATTCATCCTTGCCAACATAACCTGCACAGGAACATTATGACGTCAGATATCATACATATGTTGACAGGTCCATGTAAATGCATCCTTGTCAAGTAAAATAATTTCTAGAAAAGGATTGCACTTCCAACAATGTTCAGATGCTTAGTGCTGAACTGCTGATTTATCGCTTTTGTAATGAAAAAATCAAGTTGTCAAATATATGAAGTCCATCTCCCAATATATCAAGACATTCACATTTAATTTGATAATTTCACAGCTAAAAGATGGGTCATGTGACAACAAAAGCCTTTACATGCTGTAAAATCAAGAAATGGTCAAACACAGTGAGGTACTGGTCTAAATGCTCTAAATATATACAAAAGCATGGGTTGGCCTGTCAGTGTCTCCGTAACTCTAAGCTATAAGTCTAGAATTTCCTTGAGCTATTGAATTTCTAGCTCAAAAAAAAAATCCACGAGAGACTCAATTTCCAAACCCACGTAATATTGTTTGGTGTAAAAACGCTTGTAGTGGTGAGAGTTGTCTCACTTAGTCATCAGGTCGCGGGTTCGAAGCAGCCTCTCCGTAGATTTGCGCGGGGGGGAGGTTTGCCTCGGTTTTTCTTTTCCCCAGACCCCACTCATGTGGGAGCCTCCGGCACTGGGTCTGCCCTTTTAAAAACGCTCCACTAGTGTGGCGCTTAACATCGTCTGTTCTTTTGATCTCAAAACCATGGGGATTGGAAGGGATTGAAGGGGATTAAATCCTCTACAAGTCAAAATCCCCCTCAATCCCCTTCAATCCCTTTTATTTCTAGAACAACCGAACAAGGCCTAACTTGGACTCATATTCTCGCTTCTACAGTACAAGTTAGGAAAACTCAGGCTCACGTTTGTTTTTATTTATTCAGTTGCTTGTCATATTTAGGGCTTCAGTTGCTTGTAATATTTAGAGTTTGTTTTGGACTGTTCTGCTCCACTAAACCAATTCTACTCTATTGTGGAGCAGTTCCACTCTATAGTTACAATTGCACTATAGAGGAGGTGGATTGTATATGTTTGACTTGAAGTTTTGCTCCAGCTCCAGGAATGGAAGGCTTTCCTGTGAATCATCTAATATGTCCTTGGATGATTTGTGTAGTGCATAATTTGAAATATGTAAGCATGTGTGGGTGACTGTATTTCTTTTTTACGAGTTGAAAAATCCAATTTTTTTAACATACGAATAAATATCATACTGGTACAGGTGCCCGATGTAGCTCATGTCAGGGTCAATTTGTTTGCCCAAAGTGTGGAAAACCAATAGTAATTTTGCAGAAAATGATCAAACCAACATCCTGTGCACTCAAGAAAGGAATATGTTTCACGGGTGCTGAATTTTTTGACATCGGGGGCAACCATCTCTCATGCAAAAAAAAAAAAAGATACAAAATTCAGGGAAACTTAAATTCAAAACTGATCACTGATAAACAGGTCTTGTTTGTCAAAAGCATTCTGTAAATGCTTAAATAGACATTACAGGAAGATAAAAATTACTGAGCAAATTCACAACCCCTAAACATACCCATCAGGGGGCAAAGCATGGCAAATTCATGGATAAAGTCATACTCATACCGAGGAGACGATTAACTGATCTATGCCCTATTGTACAATGGTTGGCAACTGATGCCCGTAGTGACATTCAAACCATCAACTTTCCCAAAGAAGGGGAATAGTCTATTATATATAAAGAAAATGAATCTGCATCCAAGGATTCAGCCTGTCTTAGCAAAAATCTAGCCTCTGTATTTCATCAATGCGATGTGCACAACATATATGATTGAGCCTCTGTCTTCCACTTGTAGTCTGTCTTCCACCTGTAGTCGGTGAAGACTTGCTTGAACCGGGTCATTCATCCTTGTCAACATAACCTGCACAGGAACATTATGACGTTAGATATCATATATATGTTGACAGGTCCAAGTAAATGCATCCTTCTCAAGTGAAATAATTTCTAGACAAGGATTGCACTTCTAACAATGTTCAGATGTTTTGTGCAGATTCAACATGAACTCGTGAACTTTTGTAATCAAATTAAAGATGGGGATGGGTGATCCACGAAGCGAACCGTGGCTGATCCACCGAACTCGTGAACTTTTGTAATCAAATTAAAGATGGGGATGGGTGATCCACGGAGCGAACCGTGGCTGATTACCGGAGAACTTTAGTTACTTTAGCTTGTGTGCTTATATGGCCCAGCTCCGCACGTGGAACGGGCCTGTATACGCATAGCACCTTGCTGACACTTTCGTCCTCGCTTCGAGTAAAAGGGTTAACCCGGAGGTGCTATGTTTGGAACAACAAGGATTATAAGCTGGTCCTCACCCTTCTAGACTTCCAAGGTGGTATTAAACCCACTAACAACAACTCTACATGTGCCACTTGAGCTACATGGGTCAACTTCACAACTACTACATGGTACTAATGGGCTAGGGTGTTACATTGCGTCTGCTGCTAGAGACAAATTTATCGACAGCAGCGACAGATTCATAACAGAGCTGAGGCCAGAGCTGGGACCTGGCCGGTTCTACGGCAGCAGCCTGCCGAGGCAGCGCTTCTTCCCCGGTGACTGCATGGACCCGCTGGCGTCCATCATCGACACTCTCCTCGAGTGGGCATGCGAGGCGCACAGCGCACTAAGCCATGGCCCATGGGCGGCTTTGGCGTGAAGCCCCTCCGCCTGCAGGGCCGCATCGAGGGCTCCAATGAGCCATCGACAAGCTCCGCCGCCGCACACTGCTTTGCCAGGGCAAAGGCCAAGGCCCGCACCGCCGGCCACAAGCCCACCTTGCTCGCCGCGCTCAGCTCCGACGAGGAGGAGGCGGTGTAGGAGCGGGCCCTAAAAAAAAGGAAAGAAACTGCAACTCGCGTCCGTACTCTCCGCCAAAGATGCCGGTGAGGAGGCCGCATACAGTTGGCTCGGCAGCATCGCGCTCCAGCACCTCGAGCTCCTCGGCGCCTTGTGTCCCCAACGCCATGGCGTGCACGTGCTGGCTGACGCCCGAGGTACACCACGTACGATGACAGCTCGCCGGACGCCGGACGCAGCAGCGAGCAAGAGCGAGCGCCGAGCCGCCGAGAACATGAGGTCGGCGAGGACGGGCGCTATCGACGCGGTCACGGTCGCCGGAAGGCTGCTGCACCGGCCGCGCCGCGGTGCCCTCACCAGCACCGGGATAAAGGTGGATCGAACCGCTGGATCTTTCGGTTCGGTGGTTTCTGATCCATCGATCCTGATCCTCTATCTGCTGTTAGAATGGAGCCCATTTGGATAGTTTTTATGGGCCGGTTCGACGAACCGCTCCACAGAACCGAACCACGCCCATCTTTAAATCAAATCAAGTTGTCAAATGTATGAAGTACATCTCCCAGTATATGAAAGACATTTTCATTTAATTTCACAGCTAAAAGATGAGTCATGTGAATCAAGAAATGGTCAAATACAGTGAGGTAGATGGTGAAACTTATCACACAATGCATCCAGTCAACGACTGTACTAACAAAAGAAATTAAGAAAGCAACACACCCTACTAATCTGATAGATTTTAAAGAATCGAAGAATTGTAAACAGAACTATCCACACTTGTTAGCATTTGCTACCTGGAAGATAGCTACAATAGTTCAACATTAACATATTTATGTTTATGTTGCTGTCCAAATTTAAAATCCACATTAGCTCATTTTTGTAAGACAAACATAACATATGGATGAGATAGGAAATTCTTATACATTATAACCCATAGTGAGCATGCCGTGGACCTACTAAATCTAAGGTCTGAAAAATGTACGACTTTTGGAGTAGAAAACTTATCGTATATATTGACACCCTTGATGAACTGTGGGGATACTGACACCCTTGATGAACTGTGGGGCCACAAGAGAAGGCAAGATCTTTTGAGTAAAAGACTCAAAATCTTTTCAGCACGCTGGTCCTTCCCATCGATCCATTTCTCACAAACTCTGTTTTTCACAAACAACACAAAGTACAGACTATAGAAGGTAAGAAATGAGAAAAAAAAATACTAGAACAACAAATGATAAATTTCTATACTCAAGTGCTCCCACAATGCAACTACTGAGGAATGAAAACACAACACATTATAGCCGGCAATAGCAAATGCATGTGACTTCATTAATAAAAATGTCACCATAATGCAACACTAACAGAAATACAACACAGGGAGCAGCAACATCAAAATGCTCACAGATTCTAGCAACGAGGAGAGGATAATCTACACCAGGAAGATCTTTAACAAGCAAGTCAATCATCCACAACATAGAGAATTGTGGATTGATTGTTTTATAAAAGATAGATTGAACATAGACTTGAAAAACATACCATTTAATAGCTAAACCAGAAACACCTGAAGCATCTTCCAGTTTCCAGTGGTGCCTAAACAATTTGGAAACAGAAGTGGAGCTGCTGCGCTGCCACCGCCGCCGCCATCGGTAATGCATTGGGTCCACCATTCCTGTCCTATCATCGATGCTAAAATCCAGTATCCAGCAGCTTGTTAGTCTCAGCAAACTCACCTTCCACTGGAATGGCATCTTCTTCCACCAAAAAACAAAACTGATGAATTTCATGTTAACTTTGTCCTACATGACAGAAGCTGTAAAGCTAAAAAATCCAGCAGCTTGTTAGTTTACTCCAAGTACCACAACTCTTCTTTCAAATCAATCACAATCGAATTTTCTTATTCTTAACCAAATAGCATTGTAAAAAAATGACTTTTTCCAGAATTAAGCCATCTTGATCAACCAAGAGCACCCTACACCGTCATTCTCCTAGCCACCAAAAAGAAAAATCCTTGGCAACCACCATTCACAAAACAAGAAAATGCTTCCATAAACAAAATCATTGAGGCCTTACATCTGTATTAAGTAGCCGATGGTCACAAAATGTGAATCCCTGGCATGTGAGTATCATCCAACAAAACCAGGCCATGGTCTGAATCTATGATCAATTTCCTACTCTGTTCAGTCAATACAGTATGCCCTAACTCCTAAAAGAGCAAGAAGAAACACTCATCAGACTAGCTAACAAGTTCCCCAACTTGTTACAAGCCGCCATTAACCAGGTGCCCTGCAATGCCTCAGCAAATGCAGTACTGGTATGGACTGACTGCACTGAATATATCTTAGCAAACCAAATCATGCTTGCCAATGCCATTTGATTGCTCATGTTATTACTTGGGCATAATATGATACATGTCTCAAGCTTCTATCTTCTCATAGAAGAGGAAAGCCTCGCACTTGAGAACTTCATCTAGAGAGACTTCTCTGATGCTTTTATCATTTGCACGAAACCAAGAGGAAGAGCTACTGCTCGCCTCTCCTGCTCGCTGAAAATCCTGCTTCCTCTCACATAAGCGACAAAGTGCACTGCTGTTACGGTCCTCCGCTGATGCTCAATGACACCAACTAGACGATATCTGGCATTATCTATGGCCCCAGACCTGTAGGTTTGCAAAATATCAAACAAACGAAATGTTAGCTTAGCTATCATCACTAACAAGAAAATACTATCAGATTAACAGTTTTGACATATATCAAGTGACTAGCTGATTCCTCCAAAACTTAAAACAGAATTAGTGTCACACAGTACAATTGTATTAATAGTCAGTTCATTTCATTTTTATGTGCACAAAAGGGAAAATAAAATCCTTAGTTGTTCCATTTTATGGGAAGGGATGACATAGCCGCACATGTCGTGACATCGCCTATGTGTGAGACCCAACACCAGTCAGGCAGTCACCACAATTCAGTTAAACTTCCCAATCAGCGTGCAATGGAAGTACCAGATGCTAGTTGCCTATTGTCCCATTTTCAAAGTATAGTCAGATACTAAAAAAAGCGCAGAACTAAACATAGAAACCTTTGTTCTGTACCATTTTTAAAAAAATCAGACCTTTTCAAAGGTAGTGCTATTTTTTGTTGTATATATACTACAGAGGTCACACTTGGGTCACCAGGAGTGACAAAACCCCAGCAGAAACAACACAGAAAAACAAAAAAAGAAACCCAAGTAGCACGAGACAAAGTGATAAATTATTAATAACTCAAACAAATTTATTTCTAGCACTACTCCAGGTCAGACAATGGCAACTAGAGATTCTTTTAGAGACGTAAAAGCACCTTCTGAATGAACAAAATTGAAACATGCAGTCTAAACAACTCTTTTGAACTAAATACCATATGTTCTTCAATCTTTCCTAAAGATACTGAACAAACTATGAAATAAAAGGTAGCTACTGCAAATGAGAAACTTCAAACTGCACAAAAGTAATATAACTATTGTAGTTAAAAACTTCGAACTTGGGTCTTCTCCCACTTGGTTTGCAGTATTTTCCAGCTCTACTTGTCGTGTTCTATCCTGATTTAGTGCACTGGCCTTTTTGTTATCATGGCACTCAACAGGTTGCTCTTTTCCTCCACTTTTCGACGATGGTCATGTTCAACTCGGGCCGTCAAGTGATGTGACTTCACTGATGTTTCCCACCATCTGTCCTCTATCTTTGCTTCGACTGGTGGGGCAAGAGAAAGCAAAATCTTTTCAGCACGCTGGTCCTTACCATTGATCCCTTCATCACAAAGCCTGTTATCGCAAATGAAATTAACACAAAACACAGAAAGTAAGAAGAAGGAAAAAACGTACTAGGACAACAAAATAGTAAATTGCCATCCACTGAAGTGCTAGCTCCCACAATGCAACTACTGAAGTATGAACACATTGTGGATTCATTGTTTAATAAAAGATAGATTGAGCATAGACTTGAAAAACATACCAATTAACCAGAAGGGATTCATTGTTTAATAAAAGATAGATTGAGCATAGACTTGAAAAACATACCAATTAACCAGAAGCACCTGAAGCATCTTCCAATTTCTAGTCGTGACTAAACAAATTAAAAACAGATTGTCTAGCACAAGTAAAGAATCTGCACCAAAACATATGGGCCACAGACAACTATACTATATATGGAACCTAAAATCCAGATAATTTCTGTATGAAAACATAATATTTCAGATACTTGTAGCTGCATAATTAAGCAATACGACATTAAAAGTGCTAAATCAAAGACAGGACCGGGAAGGGGAGGGCATGTACCTTGAGCAAGTAGAGCAGCAACACCTGTAAGTAAGCAACTAAAACAGAGGCTTGAACGGGTTAGAGAACGCACCTGGGGCCAGCAAGAAAACACATACCGCACGCACGGACCAAACCTAGCACATGTCCATCTCCGGAGGGGGAGGTGGGAGCTGCACTGCCGCTGCTGGCTGCTGCGGCGGCGGATCGTACCTCACGGCGTACACCCCATACACGGGCATGTAGTAGACGATGCACACGCACGTCATGACAACCGTGGCGGCGATGCAGAGGTACACCCAGACGCGGAAGATCGGTATCCAGAAGCGGGCCTCCTCGGGATCTGTAGTGAAGGAGAGGACCTTGACGATGCAGATCACAATGTGGAGCCCGACCATAGCCATGCCCCAGGTGCGGCCCATGCCGCCGAACACGCAGTACACGGCGTACGGAAAAAGCTTAATCTTCATCGGCGGCAAGGGACGCACCTCATCCTGCGCCGTCGCGGGTGGGGCCGGAGGTGGGCTCAGCATCGCAACAGGAGCCAAAGGGGCGACGACTCGAGAGGAGCGGGGATCGAGCGAGGAGGGAGGAGCACCTGCGGACATCGGGCGAGGAGGGAGGAGCACCTGCGGCCTCGCCGGAATCGATCGAGGGAGCCGCCGGGTCGAGATCGCGAAGCGCGCGCGGAGATGTGATCGGGAGATCGAGATCAGGATTGCGGGAATCGAAAACTCTTGGGGATTGGGATCGATTGCTCTGGGAGGCGGGGGTGGAGGCGACGCCGACGCGCAGGTTTTATTGGCCGGCAAGATGAGTCGCGGAGTCGGTTTTGTCTTTGCGGCGTCACGTGTCCCTCACGCGCCAACCTGGAACCTGCTGTGTGCTGGAACTGGAAGAAGAGCGGGCTTTTTTCATTACCGTCGTTACCCCCTTGAGCCTTTTTTGACAAAAATAAATAATAAATAAAATAAAATGGGTGCATGTGTAATAACCCATAAATAAATCATCGTATGGCATATTGATGATATTGATTCCAAGCTCGTAAGAGTTGTTCTGGCAGCATCATACAAATGGTCTAGTATATTTTTAGGATTTTTTTGACAACCCATAAAAGTTAAATGACCTTTTAGACTCTCGCAGTGCCAGCTCCTGGACATCCCGATGGACGCGCACGTCCGGACGTCCACGCTTGCACTCCGTTTTGTGCGGCCACACGGCTCCCGCACCACCCAAACCTTGCCGCGCGCCCCCTCTGCTTCCCCTCTTAGACGTCTGCGCCTCTTCGCTGGTACCTTAGCTGCTATGGTACGTGGGTCCCCAGTAGCAACATCGGATCTACCTTTGAGACATCCAGATAAAACATTTGCAACATGTTCTGAAGACAGATGAAACACTTGAAACATGCGTCTGAAACACTTGCAATGAAAAAGCCATTGCAAAACATATAAAACACATCCAGACAAACTTGTAACATATGTGTGAAACATATGTAACATCCAAATAAACACACTTTCAATATAGGTCTGAAAAAAACAGATGAAACATTTGGAACGAATGCTTGCAACATACATATACAACCATTACAACATATGCAACATCTCGATCTATTTTTGCAACATCCATATAAAAATATATGCAACATACCTCTAAAACACCTGAAACAATTGAAACATACTCTTGCAACATTCGCTTTCAACGCAACATCTCCTTGTTGCTTGGCAGAATGTAGGTCTCTCGGTGTGTGGAGTTCACCGGAGGCACGGCGCGCGCGATGCTTGTAGGCGGCGGGCCGGCGGCATTGGCTGCATGTAGCGGAAGGGAGGCAGCGGCCACAAGAGCGGCAGGGAGGACGCGGCCGCGTAACTTGGAGAGGGCAGCCGTGCGCCGCACGTGGCAGGGCCGGCAGCCCAGCACCGCGACTTGGAGGCGGTCGCGCGCTGTGCCTAGCAAGGCCAGCGGCCGAGCGCTGCGCCTCGGAGGCGGTCGCACGCAGCGCCTGGTGGGGCCAGCGGTCGTGCGCTCGGAGGCAGCAGGTGAGTAGATAAGAGCGATAGGAAGAGGAACGAGTTGATATGAATGATCAGATGAGCGGTTTTTTTTATAGAAACGAAGGAGCGTGGATTGTTAGGCTGGCATCACGGCCAGCAACAAAGGTTCCGGACGGACGGACACCCGGTTCAAAGCATTACCGTTTAGACTTTAGAGTATGACCTTTTTAAGAACCGGTTTAGGATGTCTGATCGTCGCAAGCGCCACGATATGCAAGTGGATGATGCGTGCGCACTCTGTGATCAGATGTTGAGACGGTGGGCCATCTCACAGCAAGTTGCATCTTCACCAGACAGGTGTGGCAGCTAATGCTCACGCTGGTAGGTCTGCTAGCGTTGATGTTGGAGTACGAGGACGAATTGGGGGAGTGGTGGCTTCGCCAGCGAGCTTGACACGACTCGACAACGCGACCTACCTTCGATTCCTTGGTGTTGCTCATTGTCTGGACTGTTTGGAAGGAAAGGAACAATAGAGTCTTTGGGATAATGTCTTCCACTCCGGTTGCTGTCGTTCGGAGCCTAATGGAGGAAGCGGCGGATTGGTACAGGCAGTCTTCACAAAACATTATGCACGTATAGTACTATAGTTGCATTGTTAGGCTCTCAGTCAAATGTTTGCGCTCATGTCATGCAAGCGTGTTTCACTTCCTTGTATTATTTACAAACTCCTACGTTCTTAATGAAATTCGGGTCCAATCCCGCTCAAAAAAAAAAAATTCAAAATTTATAACATCAAACGATTACATTATGGAAATATATTCCATGGTGTATGGCGTATCTTATCATCTTATTTAGTGTCATAAATTTTGACCTTTTTTCTATAAGTTTGATAAAAAAATTATAAAAAATAACTTAGTATAACTTTAGTTACAGGAACTAAACATGGCCATTGGGGCAAAGCTTGGCAAATTCATGGATAAAGTCATACTCATACCGAGGAGACCATTAACTGGTTCAAATCACAGTGATGGAAAATATGCATGCCTATACAATGGTTGGCAACTGATGCCCGTAGTGACATTCAAACCATCAACTTTCCCACACAAGGGGAATAATCTACTCTATATAAAGAAAATGAATCTGCACCCTCGGATTCAGCATGTCTTAGCAAATAATCTAGCCTCTGTATTTCATCAATGCGATGTGCGCAACATATATGATTGAGCCTGTCTTCCACTTGTAGTCGGTGAAGACTTGCCTGAACCAGGTCATTTATCCTTGTTGAACAACATAACCTGCAATGGAACATTATGACGTCAGATATCATACATATGTTGACAGGTCCAAGTAAATGCATCCTAATCAAGTGAAATAATTTCTAGAAAAGGATTGCACTTCTAACAATGTTCAGATACTTAGTGCTGATTCAACATGGACTCATGAACTTTTGTAATCAAATCAAGTTGTCAAATATATGAAGTACATCTCCCAATATATCAAGACATTTGCATTTAATTTCACAGCTATAAGATGAGTCATGTGAATCAAGAATGGTCAAATACAGTGAGGTAGATGGTGAAATTATCACACAATGCATCCATCCTGTCAATGACTGTACTAACAAAAGAAATTAATTAAGAATAAGAAAGCAACATACCCTACTAATCAGATAGATTTTGAAGAATCACAGTGGGGGTCTCCCCAGCTATATTTTCGGGTCAAAAGAAAAAGATTTTGAAGAATCGAAGAATTGTAAACAGAACTATCCACACTTGTTAACATTTGGTAACTGGAAGATAGCTACAATAGTTCAACATTAACATATTTATGCTTATGTTGATGTCCAAATGAAAAATCCACGCTAGCTCATTTTTGCAAGACAAACATAACATATGTATGAGAGAGGAAATTGTTATACATTATAACCCATAGTGAGCATGCCGAGGACCGACTAAATCTGAGGTCTGAAAAATGTACAACTTTTGGAGTAGAAAACTTATAGTATAATATACTGACACCCTTGATGAACTGTGGGGCCACAAGAGAAAGAAAAATCTTTTGAGTCTTTTATAATGGCATGCTGGTCCTTCCCATTTATTACAAACTCTGTTTATCACAAACGACACAGTACAGACTACAGAAAGAAAGAAGCGAGGAAAAAACATACTAGAACAAATGATAAATTTCTATCGACTGAAGTGCTCCCACATGCAACTACTGAGGAATGAAACACAACACATTATAGCCTGCAATAGCAAATGCATGTGACTTCATTAATAAAAATGTCACCATAATGCAACACTGACAACACAGGGAGCAGCAACATCAAAATGCCCACAGATTCTAGCAACGAGGAGAGGATAATCTACACCAGGAGGATCTTTAACAAGCAAGTCAATCATCCACAACATAGAGAATTATGGATTCATCGTTTTATAAAAGATAGATTGAACATAGACTTGAAAAACATACCATTTAACAGCTAAACCAGAAACACCTGAAGCATCTTCCAGTTTCCAGTGGTGCCTAAACAAATTGAAACAGAAGTCTTGCACAGGCAAAGAAATCTGTGCCAAACCACATGGGCCACAGACAACTTATGGAACCTAACATCCAGGTATTTTTCTGTTTGAAAACTTAATATTTCAGATTTCAAATACTTATAGGTGCACAATTAAGCAATTACAACATTAAAGATGCTAAATCAAAGACAGGGTCGGAAAGGTGAGGGCATGTACCTTGAGCAAGGGGAGCAGCAACACCTACCAAGTAAACACTAAACAGAGAATTGAAGAATGGGTTAGAAAATGCACATGGAGCCAGCAAGCAAACACATACTGCACGCGGGGACTAAAACTAACGTCTCCATCTCCTGAGGAGGTGGAGCTGCTGCGCCGCCACCGCCGCTGCCGCTAATGCATTGGGGCCACCATTCCTGTCCTATCGTCGATGCTAAAATCCAGTATCCAGCAGCTTGTTAGTCTCAGCAAACACACCTTCCACTGGCATGGCATCTCCTTCCACCAAAAAACCAAACTGATGAATTTCATGTTAACTTTGTCCTACATGACAGAAGCTGTAAAGCTAAAAGAATAGAGCCAAGGAATTAACAATGGTTAGTTTTACTCCACCTAAGTAGCACAACTGTTCAAAGAACCAAGGTACAGTTTGTCTCAGGGGGGGCTCAATTGTCCTACTCGTGTACTGCAACAGTCTCCAATCAAGTTAAACTTCCCAGGTCATCATTTGGGCATATATAGTATCCACAGGCTTCGATTCAACATATTCACCATATGGTTTTTCCATACTTGATTCGTATCATATGCTTCCACTACAAAAATTGAAACACACATTGGCCTCCTCAATTCCCAGTATCACACATCCGCACTCAGCTTACCATAATGCATAAATCACTTTGAATTTTCATGGAGCTCTTCTTTCAAATCAATCGCAATCGAATTTTCTTATCCTTGACCAAATAGCATTGTAAAAAAATGATTTTTTTTGGCATCCTGCAATCAGAATTAAGCCAACTTGATCAACCAGGAGCACCCTAAACTGTCATTCTCCTAGGCACCAAAAAGAAAAATCCTTGGCAACCACCATTCACAAAACAA